TATATATTCCGTACCACAAAAATTGTTGCTACTAAATAAGTTTTTTTTCTTTTATTTGAGATTGTGATGTAATTATTATTATTATAATTTTAGAATTAAGGCGTAATTGTTGTTGCATAAGGGGTGGAACTAGCATACGCGCTACGAGTTTGATTGAATTAATACCTATGATCCAAATTATATATTTATTTTACAAAAATCTATTGAATATATATAAATTATTAATTTAGAATTCAATAATTTAAACCGTAAACGATAGTATCTAACCATAAGTTTGACTCTTGTTATTGTTCAGCATATATATAATGAAGAAAGGTGGCTAAGGAGCAGTTTCAATGGGATGATAATTGCGCATGTTTTTTAATTGTTAAAAAGTAAAAGGAAGTAGGAGAAAGATATGACAAACTCTAATTTTTTTGGTCATATGTGGGATCCACAAACATTCCCCTTTGACAAGCGTGCTAAGGAATAATCTCTCCCACTTTACTCCACATCTACACCCTCCATTTCTCTTTAATTTCTTAATAAAAACATCAATATCGAACTAACTCGGATCTACTAACTGCAAATTAAAAGTCTCACTCTATTTTTCATAGTTCTAATAATTTATCATTAAAGTTTATCATCAACTTATGACAATCTTTCTCCTTAATTCACTCTTAATACGGCTTACACTTCTGAAATTCACGGAAACATAAGACTTCAGTAGCTTTTGTCTAAACTATGTATATGTATTAAGAAATTCACTAAATATCTGTAAATATTTGAGTGTAAATACAGTTATTACTGTATATTAACTTGAGGTTGCTATATAAACTCATAAACTTCAAATCGTAAATCTGTTTTATTTAAATAATTTTTAAAGAATTATTAGTTGCAGTAAGTCACTTTCGGTGGAGAATCAGAGCCTGAATGGCTGAATCCTATTTCAAGGATTTAGTTTGGGACTTTGGAAGGGTCATTTTCTTCAGGCCATTTTAGGAGGTGTTCTCTTTAGGAAGTTGGAAAACCCCCAACAAAAGTTTGCACATTTATGAGTCTTTTTATCCCGTGATATTCGGGATTTCTCAACAGAAATCAACGATATATATGATCATATGAATAATTTTTAATTTATTTATTTATTGGATCGTATAATTTCCTTAGTAATATTATGTCTTACGTTTTTTCTTTACTTTTCATTTCAAGCAAAGAATGAGAGTTTCTGTTTTAGAATGAAACATCAGTAACATTTTGGTTTAATTTGTTTCCTTTTAGTTTTTCTCCTTTTTGCTTGAGTTTGAAAAATCAATTTCATGAATCACGATTACAAGTTTGGTTGATAGAATATAAGTTTACAAAAATACTAAGTTATCAATCGAAATCAAAAAGGGAAAAATAGAACCATAACAAATATATTTCGATATGATACTGGTATTACACTTTTAAAATAAAAAAGCGAAAATATCGAATCGAAATCTTTCAAAACCGTGTACAGAGGCATCTTAGTTTACTCAAGATGCTAATGCAAATCAAATATTATTTCTTTCTGTGTTATGTATTCAATTAAACCAAGCTCATTGATCTGCATTTATCCCGAAAATACGAACCTTGTGCATATTTGGAAATTTGGCAACAACCAGTATAAAAACTGCGACAGTGTTGAAGAACAACATTGGGTGTTGATAATCGGTTGTATGAGAGGCTATCAAGTACCTGTGAATAGAAACCAAGTATGAGAACAACTACTGCAAAGGCATCATACAGTACAGAGGATAAGATGGACAAAAGACCCAAAAAAAAAAAAAAAGGCAGCTAGGTGCACTACGCTCCTGCTATGCGCGGGTCCGGGGAAAGGCCGGACCACAAAGGGCCTATCGTACGCAACCTTAATTTGCATTTCTGCAAGAGGTTGTTTCCACGGTTCGAACCCGTTACCTCCTGGTCACATGTAGGTAACTTTTTACTTCCAAGGCTCCCTTCAAGATGGACAAAAGACAACCACAAATAAAATTAGTTAGAAAAAAGAATCTTTTCTCCAAAGGGAAAAGGAAAAAAGAGGATCATTGTGTAGTTGGTAGCACAGGCAAGACAAATGGCAAACAAATCAATGTCCTACCGCATCATTAATACAAAAGCTGCACTAGTTGTTGTTCTGGGTACAATAAATGAGAACACCACATTTTCCACTTGCTGATCATCAACCTTAGCTACCTTCAATGTTCCTCTTTAAAGTGATAGTGCATAAGCCCGGGCAGCTCGGTGCACTAAGCTACCACTATGCGCGGGGTTCGGAAAAGGACCGGACCACAAGGGTCTATTGTACTCGGCCTTATCCTGCATTTCTGCAAGAGGCTGTTTCCACGGCTCGAACCCGTGACCTCCTGGTCATATGGCAGCAACTTTACCAGTTACACCAAGGTTCCCCTTCACAATGCATAAGTGTATCATTAATACGACACAGTATTGTTCAATAAGCATCTGCCTTACAAAAATTAATGTTCCTGAATAATAAAGGAGGAAGGAGAGTCCAATATCTAGGAAACTACAATGCTTCATCACTAATCAGAAGAAAACTACGATGGATGAATAAGAAAAGAATGCTGCAAAATATCAATAAACATAATTCCAGAGAGGGAAGTAATAAGCATGGCCACAGCAACACCCCCCCCCCCCCCCC